GAGCTAGGCGACGTATGCTTATGGACTTCTGCAAGCGTTCTGGTCTAGCTCCGGCTTTCCGAGTATTTTTTGTCGAAAGTGTGTGCGACGATGCTGAAATAATTGACTCCAACATTACTGTTAGCATCGCACTTATAGCGAATTTGTTTTGGATTTGTAGACTCAGATTAGAACTTTTTAGGAGGTGAAGATCAATTCACCCGACTACAAAGGCATTATGACCCAAGAGGAGGCTAAGGAAGATTTTATGAAAAGAATAGAAAACTACAAGTTGCAGTATGAACCATTAGATGAAGAAATCGACGATGATCTTTCGTTCATTAAGGTAAAATCTCATTCGAGAATATGGTTTTGCTCAGAAAACGATCTAACATTTTAATCTTGTAAACTGCGTGTGAGTTTGTTTCCCTTTATTAACTCAGCAACTAGGAATTATCGTTAGTTCTAGTTCAGACCATAAATGATTGAAATTAATCTCACAAAATTGTCATGCTTCTCTTCGAGCGGTTGACACTATGTATGCACAACTTCAATATTTTCGTTATGTAGAATTTCTGGAAGCGATATCAAGATACTAACGTTCTAGCTCTTTTTGAGCATTGCTCACTTAATTGTTTACTAACGTGATAAATCTTCTTTGTTTTTTAACCTCAAGATCTTGACCCTTTAGTTTCTAGGTAATTAATGCTGGAAAGTCGTTCTTTGTCCATAATGTGAATGGCCACATTCAAAGCAGAGTAGTCTACTTCTTGATGAATATCCATTTATTACCAAGAAGCATCTATTTGACGAGGGTAGGTTTTCAGACTTTTCAAATTTTTTTCAAATTGAGCTGAAAGGCTTGTTTGAAGTACCGTAGATTTAACAAGATGAGCCATCTCTGAATGCGCTGTCCATGCAGATAACCAAAGAGTATATAGAATAATGATAAATGTATCGGTTTGTAGCTAAATATATATTTTCTACTTTTCTGAACATATTGACTTTCAGCACGGTGAAAGCGAGTATAATCAAATTGGAAGATTGGGTGGTGATAGCCCACTTAGTCAAAATGGCCTCAATTACGCCGATAAGTTGAGGGAGTACTTCCAGGTAGGCCCTTCTAAATCTATTTGCGTACTTCTCAGTTCCCTCAGTTCTGAATTAGGTAGAAGGACTGAAGGATCTGAGAGTTTGGTCATCGCAAAAGATTCGTGCTGCTCAAACTGCGTCAAATATGCGAGGTCTCGCCTCGAACGTGGAATACTGGAAAGTTCTTGATGAAATTGATGCGGTATGTGTTTCCAATGAGATCACTGTCATAAATGATTTTTCAAATTTCTTCGTTAGGGCATCTGCGAAGGTCTCACGTATGAAGATTTCGAAGCTCGATACCCCAAACAATTCGCAGAAAGGGATAAAGATAAATATCACTACAGATATCCTAGCGGCGAGGTGATCCATGACATTTTCTGCACTATTCTCGTAGCTTTTGTAGTTCTACTATTTGTGCAGAGCTATGAAGACCTGGTTGCTCGTCTTGAGCCGGTAATTATGGAGCTTGAACGTCAGTCGGATGTGTTAGTTATCTCTCATCAGGTATATGCACTTTCTTCCTTAATGTAGCTGCTCTTTCATCATTTTCGACTTTAGGCTGTCCTGCGTTGTGTTCTGGCATATTTTACCAACAAAAATCGCGAAGAACTACCATATCTGAAGGTTCCTTTGCACACCGTTATCAAGCTTACTCCAAAGGCCTACTCCTGTGAAGTTGAAATGTATAAGTTTGACGTCAAAGCGGTAAATACATACCGTGAAAAACCAGGAGAACCGGTCAGTCAGTTGCTTTAGTTTTTTTTTTTTTGGAAATTTGGCCGAAAACACAGTTTTTGAGTATGTCTGCCAAATGTTTAGTTTTTGTTTAAGAAAAGTTCATATTTTTTATTGGGCGCCTGCAAATCAGAAATGCACTTACTCGATGCCTAATTTGTAGTAACTAGATTTTTACGCCATTTATAACCTGTTTAGTGGGAGGATGCCGATGGAGTTGGCTATTGTCACTCACCATGGTAGGTCGTACAGTTGTGGTGGTGTTGTTAGTGTAGAATTAGTGATAATAATGATTGGCACTTTTTGCTGTCATCTTTATCTTAGTGTAGCACGTAGATTTTATAAACTTGGTACCTTGGTTGGGAATTTCCCATTTTTTAAAGACTGTCTGGATTTTACTAAAATTTTCTTCTTCTCGCACAGAACTTTTCGCTTATTATATAGCTGTGCCTAAGGTAATTTTACTAATAATCCATTCTTGCTTAGTTTCTCTTCATTTCCTCACGTTTATCTTCACTGCACGGCTTTTTTCACTTCTTTTTTTTT